TCAGGTGGTGTTGGATGGATGGGCCGCGGTGGCTAGATGATGTGAGGCGGAAGGCTTCCGGGACGGGTAGGGGGTCGAGTGAAATGGGCGGGTTGGTGGTTTGTGCGAGGTGGATGGCGGGATAAGTCGTCAGTAGGAAATGCGATGGCGGCGGCGGTGGCGGGTTGAGTTGAGGGCGCCGGTGCGCAGTGGAGTCCGGCGATAGAGAGAGAAGTGAGAGTGAGGTGGCGGATACAGAGAGAGAGCCGCACGTGCCAGAGGACCAAGCCCTTAAAGATGAGTACGAATGAATAAGTATGGAATAGGATTATGAGATGAAAGAGAGAGGAGGAATATGAAATAATCAAATGGGGGAGCGATTACTATTCCGCCCCTCTCCCGATGCCAGGTTGGTATATTCCGCCGCTCCGATTGCCGGCGGAGACCGATGATCTACAACAGACAGGACGGCAACAACAACAGCAGTGTAGATGAACGAGAAATTCATGCCAATACATTATTAAACCAACAAACACCCCGAAATCAAACAAGCGCCAATCTGAACAGACCAAATGGTTATAAACACAATTGCCCGGCCGGCTCTATCATTTCATATCGGCCGGAGTCAGCGCCTGCACAATACTGGTTCCCTCGCTGAACCGCGTGCGGAAGATGCGATTGGCGTTCTGGAACATGCCGTCCTTGAGCGAAACAACGATGAACTGAGACCCCTTGAACCGGGTCTTGATCAATCGGCCGATGTTCTGCGTGTGAGATAGATCCAGCGCTGCGTCGACCTCGTCCAGAATGTACATCGGGGCCGGCTTGAATTGCAGGAGGGCCATGATTAGCGACAAAGCGATGAGAGATCTGGAATAATTAGTAAGGACTAGGGAAAAGACAGGGGAGAATGACATACCGCTGTCCGCCACTCAGCTCCGTCAGGCTCTGTTTCCAGACCTTGCCTAGTGACACCTTGACCTCCAGGCCGTCGGTGATATCTTTGCCCTCTGGAGGATCGAGCTTGGCAAAGCTGCCCGGCAGCAACTCGGCGAAGATCTGCCCAAAGTCCGCGTTGACCTTGACCCAGGTCTTGTGGAGAGCCTCCTTCTTGTACTCGTTGAGGTTGAGGATGGTCTCCTCGATCTTGCTCTTGTCGCGGATGACCGTCCTCATCATGTTCTTCAACGCGGCTTCCTTCTTCTCGACGCTGTCGATCATGTTCATGACCTTCGGGTTGATCTTCTTCTTCATGCCCTGAGACCGCTCCGTCAGGTTCTTCAGGGTCGACTTGGATTCGGCGATGTTTTGGCTCTGGAAGTGGTAGGCCGTATTCGGGCGCCCAAAGTGCTCCTTCTCGTCTGCTATCCACTCGTGCTCCTGTTCCATGTGCGCAACAGCCTGAGCCGCACTCTGCTGGTCTTTCTGGAGCTTCTCGAGTTGATGGCCGAGTTTCTGCATCTCTAGAGCTTCCTCAGTGACCTGAGATGTCTTGGATTTTATTGTCTCCTCAAGATCTCGCAGTTCATCATCAAAGCCAGTCAGTTTGGCTCTTTCATCGTCGAGTTGAGCCTGAGCGACATCGTGGGCATCCTACTGCTGTTAGATCTGCCTTTACAAATTTCTGAATGATATCCACAAACCTTCAGTCGCGTCTGTTCTCGTCTCAGAGACTCAATCTCCTCTAGTTGAGACTTCAAAGTGTTTTCCGATTCGGCAGACTGCTCTTCCGCCGCCGAGAGATCACTGCCCACTTGCTCCGAGTCCAACCGGGAAGTCTGCAGCTCCTTCTGCAATTCCTTGACCGAAACAGAGTTCTTGGCGAGCTTCTTCTTGAGAGCGTCGAGTGATGTCTGCAGTTCCGCCAACTTGCTATCCTTGTTATTGCTGAACTCGCTCATGTCCTTTTCGATTCTCTTGATATCCTTGGATGCCTCGCTTTGGCGAGCCTTGGCGTTGGTAATGTCGGCCTTTAGTTGCTCGATGTTCGCCCTCATCTCTTCGACAGCTTGAATAATCTGCCACGTGTAAGTCTTCAATCATAGTCAATCACGACGGGTACTACACACCGATGAAGAAGAGTTGCTGTTGATCTGCTCCTCGGTGAGCTTAATCTCGTGGGTCTTGAGATCCAGCTCCTGCTTGATAGAGCGAACCGCATCCAGCTTCTTCTTCTCCTTCTTCATGTTTTCCTCCAACGTCGCAAGCTGGCGCTCCTTGCTCCTCAGTTCCCTCGAGATCTCATTGAGCTTGCCCAATGTAACAAGCAGACCGCTTGAGTTCGGCGAGCTTCCTCCAGAGAGAGTACCAGATGGATCGTAGACATCACCGTCAAAAGTGACGCTCTTCATACGGACGGAAGGATCGAAGGTCACCTTCTTCGCAGTTTCGGCGTCCTTGCAGATCAGTGTGTTGCCGAACACGTAGTTCATCGCCGCAAGCACTTCTTCATCGTAGCCGATCAAGGATAAAGCCAGGTCCACCTTTCCGGGAGCAAGATTCTGGGCCGCACCAATCTTCTCAGCGGAGGCTTTGAATGCCGAGATCTTGTTTAGAGGAATAATGGTAACGCGCTTGCGCAATTTACCGTTCTGCAGCAGCTGAGTACCAATTTCTGCGCTGTCAACCACAACGTTGTACAGGCGACCACCGGCGCAAATCTCTAGCGCCGTAGCAGCCTCGAGCTGGTCCTTGTTGAGGGTGAAGAGCTGAGCAACCAGACCTTTGACCTTGGACCGGTCAAAGTTGGGGTGAGGGTCTGTGTAGTTGAAGTCGATATTGGCTGCCTTTCGCTTGAGACCGTCGGCCCTTTGGCGCAAGTCGCGGATATCCCGTTGTAGTTGCGCCTGCTCTTGGTAGATCTGGTCCTCTTTGCCGGGTTCAAACCCAAGCCGGCTAAGCTCGCCCTCCAACTTTTTCCCTTGCGCCTTCAGGCCTTCCAGGTCTTTCAAAAGACCCGAGTTTTGCTCCTTGGCCTTCTTTGCCCGGGGCTCTTCCTCCTTGATCCTCTTCTCGAAGTTGGTGATCTTGAGCTTGGCCTGTTCCTGCTCCGTCGCGGCGTTGCTGGCACGGTTCCTTGCATCTTGCAACTGGCCCTGGTATCCGCTCTCTTGTCCCTCCTTTGAGGCAACACCGGTCTGCAGCGTCTGAAGCAGTTCTTCCTTCTGCTCCACTTCCTTCGTCTGCGCATCCAGTTCAGATTTGGCGGTGTCGAACTGCGCCTGGAGCTTGTCGTAGACCTTTTTCTTCTCTTTCAGCTGCTTCTCAAGATCAGCCACGGTGTTCTGGATGGTCTTTCGCTTCTCCTTCTCCTCATCCATGCTTGTATTCTTGAGGTCGAAAACGGTGGTCAGCCGAACCAGCTCATGTGAATGATTCTTGACTTCATCCTCGAGGGCTTGGAACTTGCCGCCCTTGCGAAGCTCTTTATCGCGTGCTGCCCGAACCTGTTTGACATCTTCTTCCAAATGCGCAATCTCACTCTTCAACTTGTCCGCATTCTCCTCAAGCGCCTGGGCCTTCATTCGCTTGTTATCGCACTCTTCGCCTGCGACTCGCAATCGTTCGCCGCCGCGAACGTAGTCGTGCGCCACAACCAGACGAGTCAAGCGCTCCAGATCATTTTGCGTCTGTTGAAAATCAAGAAATGCGCGCTTCTCTGCTCGAAGCTTCTCCAGCTTCGGTTCGATCTCTTCTTTCAGAAGCTCTTCGATCTCCCTTAGCTTCAATTCCTTCTTGCTCATGGTCTTGATCGCCTTCTCCCGGCGATCTTCGAACATGCGCGTCCCCGCCGCTTCCTCGATCATCGACAGAATCTCCACCGCCTTCATGTTCAACACCTTGGTGATGCGACCCTGCATGATCAGGAAGTTCGGGTTGTTGATGTTGAGCTGCACGCTCTGAAACAGGTTCTGCACGGTCTGCTGCTGCGCGCGGTGGCCATTGATCAGGTATTTGCTCGTTCCTCCTAGGACAATCTGGCGGGTGACAGAGATGTTGGCGTATTCCTCGAACCCGATCGGCGACTTGGACGTGTCGCGGTTATCGAAGACGATGGTCACGCTGGCTTTGGTCACGCCGGCCTGGCCGCGCTTGTAGATGAGGTCTTGCAGGTTCTGGGCGCGGACGGTGCTCATGTTGGTGATACCGAGGACGAAACAGATGGCATCGAGGATGTTGGATTTCCCGGAGCCGTTCAGGCCGGTGATCGAGTTGAACGCTTCATCCCTGTGTCGCACTATCAGTATCGTTCATCCCGTGGTATCTCTGCGGCCAATCCTCCCAGGCGATGATGATGGGTGCATACCATCCCGAGATCACCGTTCGCACGGCGTACGATTTGAAGCCCTGCGCAACACATATTTAGTTCAAGCCATGCAGTCGAGGGCAGAAGCCCACTCACGTCTATAACAATCTCCGTGATCCTCATGGTGGCGGCGGAGCTACCATGGACGTTGGTGTTGTTGTGTTGTTGAAGTGGGCGCGACCGACCGACTGTTTTGCCCGCCGATCCGCTGTTTATGCTTTGCTCGTTTGGGCCAGGACGATGACATAAGCGGGGGGTTGTCACCTGATGATGATGAGCGTATGGCTGACTGATAGGCTTACCATAGTTAACTGACTAGTGAACCACCGCTGGTTCTATACGTCAGCAACTTTTGCAACCAAGTCTCCATTACTACTTGTCGAATGAGTTGCCCGAAAGGTACTCGTTACCGCAAGGCCGCCACACGCGGTCCACCAATGGCAGACCCCGCCCCGTGCCAGCTGAGATGTAGCTAGGGCTAGCTCCAATCTACACACTCTCGGAGACATTGTCGGACACTTTCTATGTAATTGGCGAATAGTACCAGACAGTCCATGGATGATTGGGGGCGAGACATATAAAGAGTCCGCCCAAGACGACAACAGAAGACCTCTTCAACTCATCTTCTATGACCCTATCTAGAAACTATATTAACCTATTACGAATCCACCCCCAACTCAAGTTCCCTCTCACCAACAAACCGTCTCCATCTACCATGGCCGCTGAGCACCTCAAAACCCTATTCGAGTCTGACTCGTTCGTCTCCGGGTATAAAACCGGCGAGAGGATCACAGGCACATTCGCCAGGTCCCTCGTTGACCAAAGCCGGATCCTCACGGAGTCCAGTACCGCGCCCGACAGACCTCTCGTCGTTCTTGATAATGCATGCGGCACTGGCGTGGTTTCGAGCATCCTCCACCATGGGCTTGATGAGCAGGCCAGGAAGCAGTGGACCTTGACCTGTGGTGATATCTCCGAGCTGATGCTGAAGTATACACGCGCCAGAGCGGAGGAGGAGGGGTGGCTGAATGTCGAGGTGAAGAGTGTAGATGCGCAGGACACAGGTCTCCCGTCTGGGCAGTTTACGCATATGTTTACTGCGTTTGGTATGTCGGATATTCTTCTTCAGGAATTGGGACTGAATATCTTCTAGCGTTCATGGCACTCCCTCAGTCGCAGGCTGCTTTGGATGGTAAGTCCTTCCGTCCACACTTAGGACAAACAATACTCACATGCATATCCTGCCATCAGAGTCACTGAGAATTCTCCAACCGGGTGGAACTATCGCCTTCTCAACATGGATTGAGCGTAAGTCTTTACCTTCTACTACGTACTTATAGCTGACCAAACTTGCTAACAAACCCACCAGCCGGATGGGTCTCCGTCATGAACAATGCCATCGCAACAATGCCAGGCAATCTGCCCTTCCCCACAGCAAAAGAATTCCTCAGTACTATCGGCGACGGGCAGTGGGATTCCGTGCTGTGGATTGAATCCCAGCTCCAGCAGCGGGGATTCACAGACATAAACGTCAAGGCCGACACGGAGCACATCCCGCTGACCAACAAGGAGATGCTGGAGTCGACCATGATGATGTTTCCCGTGATCGCGCAGAATTTCTGGACGGCGGAACAGCGCGAGCAGCATCAAGCTAAGGTCCGGCCGGCACTGGCGCGGTATTTGGAAGAGCAGTATGGGGAGGATGGGGTTGTGCCGATGGATTGGACTGCTATTCTTTCTACGGCGCGGAAGGCATGCTGATTGACGGGAGCATTTGTTCTAAGTTCTATGTAGTGTTGGAGGAATCCATCCCACAAAGCAGTCGACTAGTATGATGAGATTCTAAAGTAAATGGATACCTAGAAACAGCCATCATGCCATCCGAACTCATTCAAGATGTTTCCTCCTGATTTCCACAGATTGACATGATTGACACCCACCCACCACATGTACTTCCCGATAAATCAAACACACCCCCTGTTCCTGGATGACCGACATCACAGAAACCAGGTTACCAAACGCCATTGCTGATCAATTAGTGTTTCGCCACCTTTTGCTCGAGCTTGAGAAATTCATGAAGCATGCGTGACGCCGACTGCACGGTTCACCCCTCTATTGGGATCCAACCGGTTGTCCAGGTCCTCGTATCGAAGAATGAATTCACGCTAGAAGGCCGATTAGAAAAGACACCAAACAAAAATTGACGAAGAGAACATACCCGGATCTTTTTCCAGCTGGCAGGATCCCAGAGCAGGTACACGCCGCGCTCGCTCACACCACGCTCAACATCCACCGGACCAGGATATGATTCATCACGAGTCAACCAGCACCGTTCAAGCTTGTGATACCGCCACTTGCGACCCATCAACTCCTCGGCGACCAGCTCCTGCATGATATCACGAGGCATGGTGTAGAAGATGTAGAAAAGCGTTTCGTCACTAAATCCCGGGATGCGCGACTGAAGAGGTTGGATATTCGCGACATTGTAACAAGATGGCACAGAGAAATCTTGCTCCAGAGGCACCGCGGACATGGACGACACAAACGGCGAGGCAAAGGAAGTATGGAGAGGTCTGCATGACACATTAGTTAAAGTCTGCCGACAACAAAGAGCGGAAACACTGACTCAGGCTGGTTCAAGTCCAAGCCCAACGTCATCAAATCCTGTCCCACGGCAAGACTGGCGACATCGGGACTCTCGCTGTGGATCATTCTCAACAGACCGGACAGTCCAAACCGGTCGAGCTCACTCATCTGCTCGAGCGGCGGCTGTTCGGCACTCTGTGACGCTGCACGGACCTGGGCCTCCTGCTGTGCATCGCTGGCCTGTCTCTGCTGTAATTGTTGCGGGTCGCTGAAGTTGCGTTGACCCGACATGAGAGTGCTGTCGTTCAAGTCCTGTGGTTTCTGTTAGTGCGGGGCGTATGCGACGATCGCCAGGGCAACTAACTTCTTTTTCTCCCAAGACTCCATTAGAACCTGGGTTGACCGGTGACCTCGACGATCCCAGAGCTAAAACGGAGTGGTCAGTAGGTTTCACTATTATTGGAGTCGTCCAAACTTACCGCCTCTCGCCCCTCCTGGTGACATGATGCGGCCCGACTCCTGTCCATTCAAAGGGGCAATGACATTGCGATTCTGCGACGATTGGGCCTGGTTCACGCCGGCGAAGGCTAGGCTAGAGTTGAAGCTTCCAAAGCCCGTATTTGGCATGAGAGAGCCCCGGCGGTCCGAGCCAATCTCCGCAGCAACATTGCGGCCCAGAGGAGGGAACTCATCAATGTTACCAGTCTGAGGTTGGCTGACCGGTCCGAGTTGGCTGCTGATGCCTTGGCCACCATTTCTAAAATCATCGAGTCGATTTGCGAACTGAGTTCCGGAGGGAAACATATCATCCTGGGGCTGTTGAGACGTTTGCGATGTGAGGTGCGAAGGGGTTTGGGATGCTCGAGAAGGGGGTTGCGACGACGGGGGAAGCTGCTGTCTCTGGACCGGTGTTTGTTGAGTAGCTCGCTGGTTGGCATTAGCCCACATCATCTGGCCGGGGGTCTGCGACTGTGATTGTTGTGATGCGTTGGAGAGAGATGGGAATTCCCTAGTAGCATGGAAATGATTAGCGTCTCGCCGTACACCACCAAATCGACGATGCCCGCTTACGAGAGATCAAGCGAAGTCGCTGGCTGGGAACCACCGAGACTTTGCGCAAAGCTTCCCATAGCTCCCATAGTGCGTTGCTGGTTGCCCTGTAGGCCGGAGGCTCCGCTCACGGGCAAGTTGAAATTCCAATTGGCAGCACCACCTGATTTCGCATATCAGCAATCCATCCACTTTCAGATCATTGTGTGTATGTGTGTAGTGTACCGAGTTTTCCGTTTGGTAGTCGCCCCGAGGCGAGGGTAGCATTCCGAGCCTGAGCTTGCTGTTGCTGCACGGGGAATCCAGACATGCCTCTCAGCGGCTGCGGACCTGGTGCTGGAACAGAAAGCGAGCGATGTCAGTATGGATCTTAATTTTGTCATATCAAAGCGCCCCCTGATCCTGTCCACGCCCCAGGAATGTTTCGACAGATCCTTGCTAGAATGTCTCGGTCGCAAAATGGAGAACCTGCACGAGACCTGCCATTGGAGTACCACAAGAGCAGAGCGCGATCCTGGAGATCTTGCTCATGCCGACCACAGTTGAAGGCTATGGATGACAAGAGAAGCAAATGTAGGAGCCCCTCAGGCCCTTCTCCGGTGGTGGAACAGGATCGGTGGAGGGTTCAGCAGCAGAAGCGAAAATGACACACCTGGTCTGTTCATGATTGGCACCTCCAGTAGGGCGCGGGCGAGACGCTCTCAGATTCTCTCTGAGAGTAGGCTGTTGACCAAACAAGAGGTCGAGGGAGGTTGAGTCGAAGGGAGGCTGTTCAAAGGGTGTCTTGAGACCTGATGCGGCGTTCCGCTGCTTGGAGGTGGAGAGAGTCGATTGGGCGATTAGACGCGCGGATGCTGTGGGTGCACAGGCCAATGTCGAGCACATCCGCAGGACTCGGCGCAGAACAAGGGAAGGATAGGAGAAGGGGGTGCCAGTGACTGAACTAGCAGAAAAAGAAACAGTGCAGAGGGTAGAGTTGCGAAGAGCAGTGGGAGAAAGAAAGCCAAATGATCAGAGCGAAACGATGGATCACTGGCTCTTCTGCCGCCGGTTCCAATCACATGATCATTCTGCCGCCTTCCCTGTTCTCTCTCGCAGGCAGAAAAAAGGGCTGTGGTCATTCACTCATTCATTCACTCCTTCCCCATCCACCATGCATCGGCAGTCTGTGGCCCGTCTAGCTGGCCATGGCCGCCTAGCTCTGGCAGAGTTGCCTCCACCCTACCTAGCACCATCGCTGCATTTCCCCTCGAGCCGGTCGGGCCAGTCCTCGAGCTTTTCGTCAACAGCCATTGCTGCACGCGACCTGAACAAAAACCGAGCCGTGTCAGCCATCCATCGGACTGGTCCCAGATACCCTCTGAGTGTGTCGAAATACCCATTGCCCAAGCCGGTGTCACCGGAAGACATGAAGCCCCGAGCCCCCAACCCGAACCACGGCCTCTGGGGCTTCTTCCCGCCCAACCACGAGGCATTGAGCGACCCAGAATACGATATGGATTTTGGTTCGTGTTGCCGATGATCTCTGCCGTGCACATCTAACGGATAATCGAACAGGTCGCCCGTGGGCCATCCAAGAACTCCGCGAGAAGTCCTGGGAGGACATCCATTGCCTGTGGTGGGTTTGTGTCAAGGAGCGCAATCGCATCGCCACGTCGAACTACGAGAGAGAGCGATTCAAGCCTGGATACGGTGCACACGAGTCCGAAGAGCGGGACAATGCGGTACGTTATGCCCGGACTCTTGCTCTTCGTCGTCTAGCTAACCGTTGTTGCTCTACTAGATCCGACGTACTATGGAAGCGATCAAGTATGTCCTACGTGAGCGGTGGTATGCCTATGAGGATGCGAAGCGGCTGTATGCCAAGGGCTATCGTCCGGAGAGCAGCATCGAGAGTGAGGAGTCCTTGTAGTTCTATCCCGGGCAGTGGTTTCACATGTACATTATACACCATCCATCTAGGATGACCCTATTTGGTCTCGTCAGGGGTTAGGACCAAAATTCGATCAAATATGATTCCATCATCGCATAAAAATAGGATAATGATCTGGTCACTGAGGTAACTGTCAGTGGAGTCCAATAGTCTAGTCCCGTTGACTTACCGCTTCGACGATCCGCGGGGGGCAACAGCTCTCCTGGAGTCTCGTCTCTCTTCTTCCCTCACTCCCTCATCCCCCTTTCACTCTACCTCTCGGTTTCCCATCGTTGGAATTTCCTTCCCCTATTATTCACCATGGATGAGATTGCTCCAGAGTACGATGTCGTGGTGCTCGGCACCGGTATGTTACTACCCCGCCATCCTGCACCGCCCGTCCTAACGATCGCTAGGCTTGACCGAGTGCGTGCTGTCTGGGTGAGTATCGCTGCATGTCTCCTGCTGGTGCAGCTCATATTGATTCTGGCTCAGTGTCCTGAGTGTGAAGGGCAACAAGGTCCTTCACATCGATCGCAATGACCACTATGGCGGGTGAGTGGGTAGCTTCACCCATCCCCGACTGCTGCTAACAATGAGCTTAGTGAGGCGGCTTCTGTCAACATTGAGACAGTATGATCACTGTGGCAACGTTTGTTCTACCCTGCTAATCTCTCTTGCAGCTGTTCAAGAAATATGGCAATGTCCGCCCCGGCGAGGAACCTTGGAAGAAATACGGGCGCGTCAACGACTGGAACATCGACCTGGTCCCGAAGCTGCTGATGGCCAACGGCGAGTTGACAAACATTCTGGTGTCTACCAACGTCACACAGTACCTTGAGTTCAAGCAGATTGCTGGCAGCTACGTCCAACAAGGCAAGGGCAACAAGACGACTGTGGCCAAGGTTCCCTCGGATGCTGGTGAGGCTCTGCGCTCGTCTCTGATGGGCTTGTTCGAGAAGCGCCGGGCCAAGAAGTTCCTGGAGTGGGTTGGCGAGTTCAAGGAGGACAACCCTGCCACTCACCAGGGTATGTAATCCGGGACCGCAACAATAATTAATGGCTGCGTACTAATGAACCCCCTCAGGCCTCAGTATCGGATCGTGCACGATGAAGGAGGTCTATGACAAGTTCGGTCTTGAGGATAACACTCGGGACTTCGTCGGTCACTCCATGGCCTTGTTCCCATCGGATGAATACATTACCACGCCCGGCATGGCCGTTGAGACCATCAACCGCATCCGCCTGTACGTCAACTCCATGGCGCGCTACGGCAAGTCGCCCTACATCTACCCTCTATACGGCCTGGGCGAGCTTCCGCAGGGCTTTGCCCGTCTGTCGGCCATCTACGGCGGCACTTACATGCTGAACACCCACGTCGACGAAGTACTCTACGACGACAGCGGCAAGGTCTCCGGCATCAAGGCCACCATGAAGGACCGTGATGAGGGGACCGATGCCATGAAGTTCGAGACGAAGACGAAGAAGATTATTTGCGATCCTTCTTACTTCCCCAGCAAGGTCAAGGTCACCGGGTACCTGCTGAAGGCGATTTGTATCCTAAAGCACCCCATTGACAAGACCGACGGCAGCGACTCGCTGCAGCTGATCATTCCTCAGTCCCAGGTTGGACGGAAGCACGGTAAGGACCAACATCTGATGATCCGATGATTCCGCTAATCATGGCTCTAGATATCTACATTGCGATGGTCTCGTCGGCCCACAATGTCTGCCCCAAGGGCTACTACATCGCCATTGTCTCCACCATCGCCGAGAATGACGCCAACCACCACATCGAGCTCGAGCCCGGCTTCGAGCGCCTGGGTGAGATTGAGGAGAAGTTCATGGGCCCCCCGATCCCGCTGTACGAGCCTCTCGAGAGCGGCGAGAAGGACAACATCTTCATCTCCAAGAGCTACGATGCGACGTCGCACTTTGAGACTACCACCGGTAAGTCTACTTCATAACTCATTGGGATTCTGCTAATTGTGTATGCGGTAGATGATGTGCGGGATATGTACCGTCGCGCGGCCGGCGAGGAGCTGGTGGTTGAAGGGCTCCGGGAAGACCAGCAGCTCGTTCAGGAGTAAAGAGAGCCATGTTCAATCGGATAATCTATTTGCTGTCTAGATGCTGGGTTGATATATTCCTCTTGGATATGTTTGATGCTCTTCTTGATGTTTCTTTTCCGCTCCTTAGCCTCGGACGCTGCCTGTCTGGCCCTTCCACACCAATGCCGTATACCTGCCCTGCTATTTCGTATCCGGATGGAGACGCCGCTTCTATCATAAATGAGTTTATATCAATTGGCACCTAAGATGGTATCACAAACAACAAGACAAAATAAACTTCTAACTATATACTCAAACTCTCCCATCTATTCATCCCACTCACTGTCCCATCTAAATCAAATCCTCTGGGTAACCTCCGGATCCGTATTCGCCTTCTCATGCTCCCCGACCACACAGACGTCCCCGGTATCAGCCTTCTGGATCTCCGCCCTTAGGAGCGCCAACCGCCGGCCGACATGAACAACCTCACAAACAAGTCGTACCTCCGTCCCCGTCGGCACGGGGCGCAGATACGTCACTTTGAGATTCCGGCTCACGCCACCGAGCGCGAACTTGCCCGGCTCCGAGACGCCTAGCAGGATTGTCGTCGAGAGCACATCGATCAGGGTCGCCGCGCAGCCGCCGTGTAGATTGCCCATGTAGTTGCTGAGCGAGGGAACGATGGTGAAGAGGAAGGAGACTTTGGGGGGCGGGCCGAGCGTGGCGGTTTCGAAGCGGAGGGAGCATTCTTGTGCGTTGAAGTCCCAGTGCTAATATGGCATGTGGTTAGTGAACTGGGCCGGTGGTGGGAGTGAGTGAGAGAGGGATGGAGAGACCGACCTCTTCGTTGTTCAGGCCCATCCGCCGGGTATACTCGAAGACCATCTCCTCGAACTCGTCCATCTGGCGCGACGGAGGGCTAATGCCGTTCTCGGACATGGTGCGTGGAGATGTGTATGTACTGCTATGCAGCGCTAAAGGGAGAAACAAAGTGCTGTCGTGAGTGAGTCGTGAGTGAAGCGCATATTCCGTTCGGAATTGGAGGCCAAGGGACCTCGGCTGATCTCGCGCCCACGGATACGCTGGGTTGCCGACGGGAGCATGTCGGTCCCAATGGTTCGATTCGTAAGAGTGGGTGTTCATTATTTCCATGATGATGGTGATTGTTATTGTACCTTTCAAAGAGTTCAAACTTGAACACTTTCAAGATGAGAAACAATAATAATTGCTCGCGTTAACGCGTTTTGGCCTGAGGCGACAAAATGCGCTCACTTGGCTTATCGGCGGACAAAACAATCGGAGCTCCTTGCACCCTTGTTGTGAAACTCCCACCCATCCAACTCCAAC